GTTTCCCTCACACACTAAAACTGCTTCAGCCCAAGTCCACAAAACTCCAATCTGGGTCTGCCCATGGTCACAGTTCCCTCACACACGACCAATCAACCCGGCTCTTGCCACAGGTTGCAAAGGGGAAACCGGGGTTCTGCGTCCTCCTCCTCCTCCCTCTCTTTTCTTTCCTTCAAACCGACCTTGATGTTCTTCAAAGTTGTTCTCCTTTCTCCGCTGCAGGTTTCCTCCAATGGTTATGGAGATTCCGGCTCTCTCTCTTTTTTTATTCGGGATGAGCTGCAGCGAGGCTTAAGCTTAAGTTGTGGTTGGGGCCGTCCAAGCCCAGCCGAGCAAGGCCGCGGCTGCGCCACCCGCAGCTGGGGCCGCGTTGGTCAGGGCTGGTGCCAGAGAGAGAGAGGCATGCCCTGCACCCCCCTTAAATACATGAATTCGCAGGAGCGCTGATTGGCTTGGCCCTGGTCAGAGGTGGGTCTGACAAAGGCAAAGGGAGAGCTTTTCAGGTAGCTTCTTAAAGGGCCATCTCCATAGCCCTTCCCCCGTTACCAAAGACACAACCAAAAACCCCTCACAGAAAACCCAATACAAGGACCTACTATAAATCTTTTGGTACTTGTTTATAGGGGAAGAGGAAATAACTGGACATGGTGTTTAATCAGAGGATGAGCTATTTTGACCCAAGGTGCTGGCAGTAAGTTCCTGCTTTATGGCAATGTGTCATGAGAATTATTAATGCTTCTGCAGGATGCAGAGGAACTGAGATCCCTTGGCGAGTCACATGTGAGGCTCCTGTGCCAAACACTGGTGCACTTGAACAGGCAGCTAGAAAGTGTTGCCTCTTCTCTGCCCATCCCTTCTCTGACGGCCATGCCACACTGTTACACTTCTCTGCACTCAATTACATCTGTTGGTATTCATGTGCCAAAATAGCATGGGCAATGGACAGTGGGGAAATGGGTTCCTCTGCTCACAAGCTGCAGCTGGTACCAGGTGGGCTGCAAAGCTATGGCAGCTTGGCAAAGCTTGCAGCTCCTTTCATGACAGTGAGATCTGGAGCTGGCGCATCATTTTTCTTCTGGTCTTGATTTCTGTGCAGCATTTGCTTGACCCAGCATCTACCTGTTTATATCAGACCTACTGTAAATCTTTTGTGCTCGGGATAGATTCAAACTCATGTAAAAAACAGCAGTGGTCTGGGACCTGCCACAGTGCAAATGGTTCAAGGAGGATGGAGCAAAACCCAGAAGTTTTGTGCTTTCCTCCGATTTGGTGAAACAACCACCAGTGCTTGCAATTTGGGCCAATGATGGGGGTTTGATGTATTTTTCTTGCAGAAGCCAGGCCATGAGGGTGATACACTTTGTGTTGGTTGAAGACCTTGAAAACCATGTCCTGTGGTACTCAAAGAGCCAGTCCTCACTTAGGAGTTGTGGTACAAAATTGCAGGCTTTACTTCTGCCCAACCCAGGCAACTTCTGGAAGTTCAAGTACATTTTAATGGTTGGAGTGGTGGAAATACTCATCAGCATAAACTTAACAGATGACTGGGATGGAAAAAATATAAAACAAAAATGGGTGAGATCTTTGTCTGCTTCAAAGCAGTGGGGCTGCTGCTGGGTCAGACCCCAGCACCAGGTGGATCATGGTCTGGTCTCTGACAGTAACTGTACAAGTCTGTCCCATGCTGATTTCTTAAGAGGTGCTTAATTCTTGATTGAAATGAGGCTGGCAATTTACCCTTTAGCTTTAAGTGTGCCCCATTAACAATAATCACACACAAAGAAAGAGGATGTGTGTTCAAGGAGTATTTAGTTGTCTTCTACATTCAAAAAGATGCTTGGAATGTTATTTTCTTTTATTTTACCTTTTTAGCATGGTAGGAAGTGAACAGCTCTTGCTGTTCAAAGAAAATAAAGCTGTTCCTTGAGATTTTTATATCTGTAATACTGAAGTAGTCCAAAGACTGACTGGTCCTGTACCAAAGACGTTTTCCCAACAAGATCTTCATTTTCATGTGCCATTTATAGTAAATGAAGACATATTTGTAGGAGTACTGATAGATGGAGAGGTTGATCATGTAAAAAAAGTGGAGGACTGTTTTTTGAAACTTAAATCTGATTATGTATATATGCTATTTTTATTCCTCTCTTTAGTTATCTGTCAAGGAACATTTGTGCAAATGAATTTTCTTTATGGATTTTAAGCATGCAGGCTGGAATGCTGGCAGAAAGATATCCTGAATACTGCTTTTATATACTGCTTTTCCCCAGGATTTTCAAGGCTAGCCAAATTCTGAGTTCTGGTTAGTCACTGTGAAAATGAAATGTCATCTGGCCTATAGGACAGACCACAATGAAGCAGCTTCACTTTGATCTGAAGATGAAACACTGCTTTCCAAACTGGGAATGTTTATAAAATAATGGGTGAGTCTCAGGAAAAACAAGTCTCACTTGTGACTGTATTGAAGTGGAAAGATAGCAAAATTTATGGTATTTTACCAGTGAATTGAGTAGGGTGAGTTATTACTAATGATATCCAACTCGCTGTCTCTTGTTTCACATGTCTTATGTGGACTGGCAGATGAGGGTAGTGGTGGAACTTGTGAATTACAGTTATTTTTACCCTACTGTTTAACCCAAATAAGAAATTTTGAGTATTTATTTAATACGAATATGTAGATGCCATAAAGTGCCTGATAAACAAAGGTGAGCTTTTATGTATACACTCATACATGTATACATACATACTTATTGCAGAAAAGAGGTATTGTGGATGGCCATGTGAGGCTGCCAAATTCAATATACCATGCCAGCTGGTGTGATACTTGGGCTGTGATGGTACACATGGTGCTTTCAGTCAGACATCATCTTAAAACTTGTGCATTGTGGGCATTTCTGTTATTAAAGCCTGGCCACAGAACATGTTTTATTGGGACAGGAGTTCCCAGCCTGGGAAATCCAATGGATTTGAACCCATTGTGAGCTGTTTGTAGTCTAGGGCAGGACTGCAGTGTTTGCAGGGGTACAACGAACTGCTTTTGAATGGATCTCTTTGAAGTGAAGATAGGTGGCATGATGTCTGCTGTGCTTGGCTGGGACCCACAGTGTGGAGGAAGGAGAGGACCATGTGGCTTTGCCGAGGGTATGCAGAGGAGAGGAACATGGGGCAGGTATCCTTATGAAACTTGGCTTAGTCCAAAATCACATCAGAAATACGGTTCTGTCACACCAACCCACCTGCATCAATCCTGTTTCAAGCCCCTGGGCACACAAGGCACAGGTCCCAGGCTTGGCTGGCCAAAGCCCATTGCCATCCCAGTCCCCACTGAGCTCAGCTCCTGCAGAGAACCAGCCCACAGCCTCCTCGCTGCTCCTCACAGGACATCTCACCCTGCCTCAGTGCCTGCGCATCACCTCTACCTTGGGGATAAATTCTTTCAATTGTTTGCCTACAGGGTTGCAAATCACGGTTTTGTATAGCCTGAATTTGCTTTATTTCAGGCTCCAGCTGTTGAAAGCATGCTGAAGAGTAGAGGGTGGGTTGCAAAGGGCCCCCAGGACCTCCTGCTTCCTATGTCCTGTGGCATGGATGCGTGCAGGATTCAGGGTCTGCTGTGCAGGGCGTTAACCACGGTGCGGTGCCAGGCTCTGACACCCGGCTCTGCTCCCAGCATCGTGGCACTTCTCCCTGCTGTGGAACCCCCTGGCTCCTACTTAGCCAGGGTGAATAAACCCAGCTGGCATGAGAGCCTGGCCTCGGGGGAGGCCAAGGCACCACTGGGGAACACAGGGAAGAGGGAGAACAAGGCAATGACAAGGAGATTGCTGTCTCTGAGGATTTGCTAGTGTCTGCTAGAAAACTGGAGCTGAGAGAAGGTGTGTGTGAGGGGGGAAGAAATGCAAATCAGTAAGGCAAAGAGGGGGCCATCCTGTAAGGATGAGGGAAAGACAGGGGAGGGCTATGGTCAGAGCTCCCTTGCCTGCCTCCCCGAACCACCTTCCTGCCACCAGCCAGGTGTCCTCCACTCTGCTTCCGAAAACCTGGTGCCAGCTATTTGCTGATGGCAGTCACGTTTGTTTGGGTGTCTGCACCTCCCCAGGAAGGCTGGTCTTGTCAAAAGCAGGTACCCACAGCCCACGGGACCGGCAAGGGTGGGCAGTAGGAGCTGGTGCACCCCTCCTTGCTGCCTGCACCCCAGGAGCCCCTCCGCAACTCTCTGCACAAAGAGCCACCCGACAGGTCTCCTGCTCACTGCCTCGCCTGGCAGAGGAGGAGGAGGAAGAGGAGGAGAGGAGGGTGGTGATAAAGGGCTTGCTGCGTCGCTTCATTTCTGTATCCAGCGCATAGCTCGTGGGGTGTGTGCGGGTGCGTGCAGCTGCTGCCTGAGGACGGCCGCAGCTGCAGTCTCGGCGCTGAGCTGCTGGCGACCAGGCGTCAGGGAAACCGGGGCTGTTTACCGCCTGCTGACAAGTGTTGCGATGCAAAAGGCGAACGTGACTGTGGAGGGGAGGCTGCATTGGCAGCGGCACCTGTAAGGAGCAGAGGGGAAGAAGCTTTCAGAGGCATTCGGCAGCAGGCAGCCAAGGTTCAGGATATCGGCACCTCCTCCCAGTGTCTCCATCACCACTTGCTTCAGATCTCTTCTTAAGGGAGAAGAGGAAAAAAGGATCCCAGAAAACCTCTGCAACTGGACAGCCCCTGCTGGAGTCTAACAGGTGTTTGCTGGGATTTGAGAGGGGAGGGGATGGGTGGGGAGAAAAGTTAACTGGAGAAATTTGGGCTAGGAAAGATGCTATGATCTTGCAGCAAGTGGATGTGCCATGTCTGCATGTGAATAGCGCATCTGGAGAAGCTCGGAGGGATGTCTTGCAAGTGATCTGCTCCATCTCCTTAGAAACACTTGCCTCTGCCTGCAAACTGTCCCCTCTCAGAAGTTGGGAGGAATAAAAAAGCATCAGAAAATCAAAAGGGGAAGATCTCAGCAGACAAAAACGCTCCAGCTAAACTGTTGCATCCTGTCCTGGGGCTCTGGTGCGAACATCCCCCTGGTGCCTCCTGGGCTCCCAAGCCGACTGGCAGTGGGTGGCATTGGCCCAGGCGCCTGGCAGCATCCCCACCATTTGGGACGTGCTGAGCAGCATGCTGGCTGCGGCGCCTACAGCCAGCAAGCAAACCCCACGTGCCTGACCCACCTGTGGTGCCAGGGCGGTGGCGGCCATGGCTGCAGCCATCGCCAGCTCCCTGATCCGCCAGAAGAGACAAGCCAGGGAGCGGGAGAAGTCCAATGCCTGTAAGTGTGTCAACAGCCCCAGCAAGAGCAAGGGAAGCTGCGACAAGAACAAGTTGAATGTGTTTTCCAGGGTCAAACTCTTTGGCTCCAAGAAAAGGCGAAGGCGGCGACCAGGTTGGCAAGGGTTCTGTGTTCGGGGGGTTGGTTTGTTTCATTTAATGCAAACTGGGGTGTGTGTCAGGTGTGGGGAAAGAGGGACTGGTTTCTCAAAGGTTGGTAAAATGAGCGTGCAGGTATTGCCCTTCCTGGCTTGTATAGTCTGATAGACATGGGCACCCCATGCCAGTCCCTTCCCCTTCTATGTTCATCTGGTTTATTTGGATAACACACACCATTGCTATCTGCCTCACTTGCACACCTGTGTACCAGTAATTCAGTAGGCTGTCTCTGTTACACATACACATATACAAACACATGTGATTTATTTGTGGGGGAGACATTAGCAGGGGAAGTTCCCACACATAGACCCCCTTCAGTTTTTTGTTAAATAACTTAGCGCTCTATAAATCTGGTTTTGTCTCCCTGCTTCTCAGGATGCATGTGCCGTGCTTATTTGCTGATTGCAGATAAGGATTTTTGCTTTCGCTGGCACCTGCTAGAGTTTTACTTCAGCACCCTGCTTCTTTCGAGGAATCTCATTCCTGCAGCTGCCCTGCAGAGATGATGCTCTCTGTGCCAGAGGTGCAAAAGATCAGACAGGAAGGCTCAGTCCCTGATCTGAGTGGTTTTTTTGTACATGGGAGGAGCAAAACCCTCTGGTAATGTTGCGATCGCCTTGCTGTGCCATTGATGCCGTTGGCCACACCACTTGCCTGCCTCTCTCAGCAGCCACAGAATTGGTGCCTCACTGGCAATTGTCAAACCGCTCGGGGATGTATCATGGCTAAAAATCCAAAGTGGGAGTTGGATGAATTTCTTGTCAGAAAAGTTGGTCAATAAGAATTGTGCATCCATCAGTACCCTTATGAAAGGTTTCTATCAGGAACTGATGTACTGTTATAAGCTTTTGCCTTCAGCTCCTTCTAAAATGAAGTACAGTAGCAGAGCTCCCTAATGTCTTCCGTTAAAGAGATGACGAGTCTTATCCAGACATTGACTGTTGGAAATGACACTTCATATCTTCACAGTATATTTATCTCTAAATTAAGTAAGTTGTTGTGGAGTGACCTGCGGAGATACATCACCTCCTGACAAGCATAACTGTGTGAAATGACTACAATGCAGATGTCATTGGGATTCAGTGGAAGTAGACTTTTTTTGCAATTACTCCCAGTGCATTACCTCGATATCTTAAATGACAGACTTGACAGCAGATCCTGTGGCTGTTTGTTTTGGTTTAGAATGATCTGAAACCATATTAGATATCTCGCTTTCTAACTGTGAATCTAGGAATGGTTATGAAAAAAAGAAAACACTCCAAATTATGAATTGTTTTGATCTTTCTTCTTCTAGCTGATGAGGTAATTACCTCAACCCTTATGGTAATATTTATTTTGCAGTTCCACACATTGCTGGATTTCAGGGTTCCACCCATCCATTTTCCATATGTTCATTGAGTAGTTTATCACTTTGGATGCTCTGTACTCTTGGGAGCAGCAAGGAATGTTTATTAGAGCTGCAGCAGTTTCTGTGCTAAACGTTTGCTGCTACATATTTAGGGTTTCAACTGTCACTGTGGCTCTTATTAGCGCTATCATAGTAGTCCTCTTTTTCCCCTCCATTTAAGAACTCATGCCTTTGTAAAAGGCAGAATATGCTCTTTGCCAGCTCCTTTCTAATCTTAAATGAGATAGGGCTGAGCTCCTGAGGCCAAGCAGCACACTGTCGGAATTTGTATTCACTGGAAGCAGATTTTATTGTGCTGCCTACATTGCAATTGAAAGTGGCATTTAATAATTTTGGTAGTTGTTTTCAGAGACCTAAATTTAATCTCAGCCTAAATGAAAAGTGTTGCAAAGCTGGTTGTCCTACTTTTGTTTCGGGTCCTTTTCATATCTCAGCCTTGAGAAGAAACCAGATTTGTGTTTACGATCCTGCTCACTTGGAATGGCACATCAGGATTTCCCACATTAACCTCACTGTTGTTTTTTTACAGAACCTCAGCTTAAAGGTATAGTAACAAAGCTATACAGCAGGCAAGGATACCACTTGCAGTTGCAAGCAGATGGAACAATTGATGGAACAAAAGAGGAGGACAGTAGTTATAGTAAGTGACATGAGACTACATGGTGTGTTTGTGAATTGTGGTGTCTCATCCTTTCCATTATAGGTCCATTCAAAATTGTTGTCCTGGCATGACTGAGGGTGTGGAAGTGACATTGACATTGCTCGCAGTGCAGAAGTCTTTCCGACTTCCTGGGTCTGAGAGAATTGCAACTAAAAATCACTTGTAGAAATAATGAACCAGAGGAGGTAATGATGACACATACGACAAACAAAGCAAATGTTATCTCCATGGTAATCTAGAGAAGTTCATTGCTGTCCTTTGGATTTTATTAGGGGTTGTTGGTTTTTTATAAACGGTGAAAATTTGCTCGCCTACTCAGAGGGCCTGAAATAGAATAACACTATCTCCGCTCTTGAACAGGGGCTCATTCAAACAGAGGCATGTTATTTCACACAATGAGAGTTCATCATTATTTTAAAGTTCACATTTCTCTATTATTATGATTATTTATCCCTTCTAAATTTAATTGTACCTTCAGCTTTCAACAAGATTTCCCTCAGCTTTTCTGTGTAAAAGCTTTTGATTTTTTTTGTTTTCTTTTTTTTATAACTTTCAGAATTAATAGAAAACAGAAGATGACTAGAGCATAGATTTGGTGTGTGTAAATAAAATATGTGTTTAACATAGTTGTATTGTTTAGCTTAAACTCCATTTCTGTTCTAAAGGGAGTCAGGCGGAGCAAGGAGTTTGAGAAGGTATTTCAGGACACTTAGACAATAAACTAGAAATTCCACGGGCAGACCTTCCTTTTAAATTATTAAAAAGCACTGATTTAAGTGCTGGCCTTTTCATATGAAAAGCATTTGCAGGTGAAACATAATTTCATTTTACAGTGTGCTTGAATATGGCAGAGTATGCATGAGGCACAGTGGGATGTATCCCATCTTACTTGTCCAACCACTTGCTCCTCTACTTTTCCCACATCCTCTTTAATTCTTTTTGCATCCCTGTATTAACTTCTGAATGTCAGCAGGGAACCAGTTACAGAAGGTCTCCTTAGCACCCTCTGAAAGTGCTGGCCTTAGGGCAGGAAAAAGCATAGGGTGTGTGGGGACACCCAGTATCTGGCATCAAGACCCCTCCTCACCCATGGACGAGGTGACACAAAGACCAGATAGGTGCAGTGCTGAGCAGCTGCTGCCATCTTACTGACTTATTCTCAAGCGTGGCCACAAAATCTACTCTGAGAATGATCATGGACCTTACCCCTTGCTTTTCTTTCAAGTGAATGATTCAATAGTTATGATTTTTAAAATCAGTACAGATCATTCAGGATTTCAGGGTAATTCTATTAATTATCTTTAAAAAAGAAGAAATAGGCAAACCTTACTTTTTACATTCAAGCATGATATTGTTATAAGCTTTTAATGTACTAGAGCAAATATCCGAAATTCCATTTTTTTAAAGTGATCATTTAATTACAGTCCTTTGCTTGCAGTTCCTCTAATAGTGATCCCGAGATTCAAAAGAAGATAAAATTTATGGAAATCTATCCTTTGGACACTCATACAAATGTGTCTGTTTCTAGGATATCTTTGTTTTCACTGTGTCCTTAAGTTTACCATAACCCGATAGATTACAAAGCAAATCATAGAAACTCCTTGTTGCTGGATTCCAGCCTTCCAAAATGCTGGATACTTAAATATAATGGAAGTATTCCAGAAATGGTTGCAGCTTAGCTGCAGCATCTAAATGTTCAGAGCAGAAAAGGTTTTTATAATTTTTAAAACTCACACGCTTTTGTATATATTCCTCTTTTACATAAGATAAGCATATAGACCTGAATATCCTGCAGTCCTGAATTTATTTTAATAAATAAAAACTTCTCCATCATTTGCTACCTAGAGCTTAGTGGGAAGACTGCCTGAAGATCATCTTTAGCTTCTGACCTGGGAGTCGTTTCTTCAAGCTCTGCAGACCCACTGCATTTTTTCACAAAAAAAAAGGCTCCTTATCCACAATTACAGTGAATTTAAAAGAAAGTTGAGATTTTGGAGTAGAATTTAGGCAGGGAATGAAACATGGATTTGAGGAGCCATAGCACTCACCAGACCTCGGTTTTAGACAAGAGTCCATGTAATTTGAGGAAGTGTTTTGTGGAAAGGATTTCCTGGCTGAGAAACAGATTTTGCCTCGTTAGATGCATCAAATCAGTCAAGGTTTTAAATCAAAGCAGAATTTATTCCCCAGTTTTGGCAAGACAAAAAGATTTGAGGACTGATAAAATAAGAGAATATTGGAAACCATATCCTGCAGAAAGCATAAAAAGGTCCAGGTGGCCAAGGATGGCATAGATCTCTCAGTAATGTATATGTTCATAAATCCAGCTGTGGCCTGCTGCCTCCTTATTTGCAGCTCTAATTTTCTGGCAGCTTGCATTGCACGAAGCCCGTAGTGAAGATCTTCTCTCCCTTAGGCATCACGAAGATTTTTATTACAGTGGATATTATGTCCTTATTTTGCACAACACAAATATAATAGAGAAAGGCTAGGATGCAAATAACTTTGCATTATCTTATGCTAACACAAACTGATTGTAGTAGCAAACTACTCATTTTCCTGTGGCCTTTTTGCCACCCTTTCTGCCATATCCGCCCACATGAGGGTCAACCACTAAAAGTGCGATAGCATCTCAAACCTGTTGTCCATGACACTGGGGGCTTACAGAGAAGGGGGTTGCGTGGCCCTGTCACCATTCACTGGTCACAGACAGGCCACTCACTGTTCCAGAAGTTAGACTTGGACTGGGCAAGGACTGGGAGCAACGGTGGCTGCTAAAGGGGATGTTCCCCTTTTTTGGTGCAGTGCCACTGGCCCTTCATCTTGGAGGTGGCAGCTGGGGCAGCCTGGCTGTGCATCTGGCTCTGCTGGCATGGGACAGATGGATTGCGCACCCCTGGTGCCGGTCCCTCTCCCCTTCAGCAGAGGCAGTCGGCAGCGAAGCCAGCATTACTCCTCCACAGCCCTTTTGCAATTTCCAATAGTCTGTGTCACAGCAGTTGCTAATCCTACCAACGTCTAAACCAGTTTCTGGGTGTGCCCAATCCTCAGATTCTCTCAAAATAGACCATGTATGTTTAAGGCAGGGAAACATGTTCAGCTGCTTCCCTCAGCAACTGAGCACCCATCGCAGTGGGTGTCTCAGCCTTCCCTTGGCAGAAGTCGCTCAGCCTTGCATCTCTGCTCACTTCGCCAAGCCCAGCCAGGAATCACTCACTAAACCATATCTCTGTGGCTTGTGGCTGTGAGCTGTATCTTCTCAACTGCCCCAAGCTTTGCCCTGTCTTCAGCTGATCTACTGACAGCTTCATTACGCTGCTTACAGTGCAGCCCATACTTGTACCCTTGTGCTGAAAATACCCCAAGGCTTGCCCTGCTCCTAATATGCCATTAAGAAAGTACCTTTCACAAGAGCCCTCAAGTCTCTGCCTGGATACTGAGCTTTACTTTGTGTTCTCCTGTCTACACAGAGATCTAATGCTGCTTTGGGGGGTTGAAGTACAAAAGAGGGCGCTCCAAGGGAATATTTTGTGAGTCAGACATGGGATATTCTTTCCCCCAAATAAATGCAAGCATTTGATAGAACGAATGAGAAATCCATTTCTCCTAGCATTTCCCTTACTGAAGATCAAAGTTTTGTTTGCCTAAAGCTGTACAGAACTAGATTTTGTGTTAGTGAAGAGAAAGCCATTTCTGTTGGTTTTGTGCTTGCAGGTGAGAGTGCCAAGGGGCTACGTGTGTGTGTCTGCATATACACTTGTGTATGAGAGGGAAGGGAAATCATATGCATGATTTTATGATCTACATTTGTTAGTTCTGGGTGTTCCCACCTGCTCCGCTGTACATGGCTACTGTAGGAAATTCAATGCTCAAAGGTGCCTCAACCTCAGAGGAGGTCCAGAGTCTCTATTCACCAGAATTTAGTCCTTTGTCCCCAGTGCACAACATCCATAAGTTTGCTCTTTCCTTTTTTGAGACACTCTCGACACTCCCACACCCAAAATTTAGGTTCTGTATGAAATGCTGGCAGGTTGCAAATTTTCTTTTAATTAAATGTGACTATTTCGGGGTTGTCGTGCTGAAAAAAAAAAAGAATTTATAATGGGTCATAACTCTTTAGCTTATATTTTTAAAAATAAATCTATTTCTAATTCATTATTCACTTTCAAATTGGCTTCTGACAGTGACCATAAATACCAAATTTCAGCCTGAAGCAGACCAGAGTTTTACAGCCAAGTAATAAACCATTGGAAATAAGAGCCTGTTTGGCATTGCTGCATCCTATTTCTGCATTTATACAGCAGACTGGAAGGAGATGCTTTGGGTTATGATAACAGTTCTTGAAAATTTTCTTAACTCCCCATTATTTTTAATACCATGCATTGAACACAAAGTACTATATCAACTCATTATTACTTGTGTTCGTTTTTAACATATCTGTGAAACTAAGCTATGGCAGAGCTGTGCTCTTTTTTTTTTTTCTTAATTTGCCACTTTACAAACTGGAATCTTCATTATTTGAAGAGATGTTTCTCTGCTTATAAATACTGCTACTATTAGCATGTATAGAAGCATAAATGCAAGCAGAACATTCAAAGCAGCTCAGTTTTGCAAGAACAGATTTAGGGTTTGATCTAATGAATATGCTGTCATTTCATTTCATTTTCAAGTTATTTAACCCTGTTTTCTTCAAACTCATTCTCCTCTCAAAAAAAATCTGATGAGTTTTGAGTGGAAACATTTTGAGATGCTAATGAAGGTTTTTAACTTTTCTGAATTTCATCTTCCTCCTTCCTTTTGGTCAAAACTGTTTACTGAATTTGATCTGATTTTGCAAAAAAATGTTTTGATTGTCTTGAAGAAGACTTTTTTTTCCACATACTGTCAGAAAAACCAAACAAAACACAAACAAAAACAAACAACCCCCCCCAAAAAAAACCACCCAGAAAACATTAAAAAAACCAAAAAAACCCCCGCAAAAACAAAACCAATAAAACCCCACCAAATTAAGTATGTTCAGCTCCACTCAGCAGACCCTGAATTCTACTCATGAGGCAGGTAAGTCACTTCAGCTGCCAGTTCCTCCAGTTCACCATCTTCAGAATGAGGGAGATACATTGGTGTCCTCTGAAGATAATTTCTGAGCGTTTGGTGGAAATTGTATAGAAGACCAGGCTAGTAACAGTATTGTTCTATAGCACCCACAGCTATTAATGTATGCATGAATAGGCATTTTCCTATTTGGTTCTGGTAATTATGGCTTAATTCTCTGTTTAAGATGCAGACTCTAAAGTATTAATTTTGCTCTCCATCTCCTTTCTCTCCTAGCTTTGTTTAACCTCATACCTGTGGGTTTACGAGTGGTGGCGATTCAGGGGGTTCAAACGAAATTGTATCTGGCAATGAACAGTGAAGGATACCTATATACATCAGTAAGTAATCAATTTAAACTTTGTTCTCACTGAAATTATGATAAGAACTTAGTAAATGAATAATTTGCCATTCTAAGTAATCTGCTTATTGCCTATAGAGATGGGATTTGCCAGCAAATTCAGTATAGTGGGGATATTCAGGTTTTAGCTTATTACTGTCTTGCTGTCTTACATTATCAATATATATGGATGTACAGAATAAAACTGCAGTGCCTTTGATGCAAAATTTGATCTCAAAGTATGAAAGAAATAAAAGTCGAAAACCCTGAAGAGAAAGGACATTATCTCTTGGTCACTGTGGACTGATCATGCTAATCAGCGTGGAGTAGAGGACAACTCTGTGAATCACACACATGCCTGAACACATTTTCTATCTTCCAATATCTTCTGTATTAATGTTATTAAAAGGGATTAGAGAAAGTATTGTTTGTTTGTTTGTTTGGCCAGGATTTTCAAATAGAAATTAAATTAGGTGCCAAAATCTTGTGGCTTCAAGTTACTGGATGTGTAAAGAAACATTTTATTAGCAGTTTTGATGAAGAATGTCAACTAATAATTTTCAGTGGCATTTCTCAGAAGAGCAAACAATGTTTTTATGAAAAAAGAGGACTTTTTTTAAATAGACCATTTTTCAATTAAAAACATTTAGTTGAATTATTTCAGGAGTTTTAATTTTAAAGTCTTAATAGATTATTTCCCATGGAAAAAAATAAAGGAATGTGTAATTTATTATCTACTACAAATTATTCTTTTCTATGAATGATTCCCTTAAGGTGCCTTTAATACTGATAACAATTAAGTAAACTTATTCAAATCTCTCATTTATTTTGCAGTCCTGACAGCTGGGACAAGGGACAGCTTTGCATATTTTTCCTTTTGTTTCTGCCAGAGCAAAAGCAAATTAAAATTGGCTACACTTTGGGACACAGTGAAATTTCAGTGCACGGCATCAAACTGCTTTTCTTTTTGCTCTGGCTATTTGCTTAGCATGGTTAATCCACAGATCTGTTTGCAGGGCTGCAGCCACACAGCCAGATCATGCAAAGTCTCCTTAATCCCGTGTAGCCACGGTCCTGTGACTGCACAGTGTCATTTACATTCGGCACTGCAAATGTACCTTTGACTGCACCGTGCATTTTCATTTACATGAGCGTCCTTGGCCACATTCCTTTCTGGCAGCCCACCTCGAGTGTTACCTCGAGTCGCGTATCAGGGTGGGATAGAGAGCTTTGGACATAAAATGAAATTCCGTTGCCGTTCACAGCTAACATGCTCAGTGTGAGTAGGTCAGTTCCTTCGTTGCATACATTCTGGAAGAATTGGATTTATTTTTGTGAAGGTGCAGAAAATGGGCTGGGGACGGATTTGGCCACTGGTAACTTACAACAGAGCAGTAACGTCTCATGGAGAGACATAACCTTGAAGTCAAAAGAACCACTAAAAGAATGATGTATCACTTGTAGTATCCTTTGATGTGAAGAGCAGCAAAAGATAACCCTTATTATGACGAAGTCCAGCTTTTAGATTGCTTAAGTATCTAGGTATCTTAGAGATCAGAGATTGTAATTTTTGGTATTGGCATTAATCAAGGATAGTTCTTCATGTGATCTCATAAGTTACCATGACTAGTGTGTTCCTTGAATCTTTTAGTATGTGTGAACTTAATAGTTTATGCCATTGCAAAATAAACTGGTGACATCCCTCTATCTTCCCCTTAGTAACAATGGTAGTATTTGTTTCTTTATTAGGCTCCTTTATTTTCTTACATTTATTCTTACATTCTTCTTGGACCTGATGGGCTTGGCAAGGCCTTAAACAGACTTTTGCTGCGTTGTTTTTTTCTCAACATTGTATTTTTAAATACTCTTCACAAAGAGAGGTGTCCATTTAATGTAGATCTGCTTTTCCAAAATAAGTTTCCACTTAAGTTCTCAATAATCTTGGCTTTATCATCTGACACCTTCTGGTTTGGTTGTTTTGTCCTCTACAGTAATTGCAATCATCTGTCTTGGTGGGCAAAAACTAGCTCACACCTCTGTCAGTGCACCTGGGGAATGGACAAGGGCTTATAAGGAGCATCTGCCCCTACTTCACTTGCTATGCAAAAAGATTGCCTCAATTGCATTCCAGCACCATTTTTTAAAGTGTTTCTAGCACTTCTTTTGCTGATAATGGTCCTTTCAGCAAAGGATACACTCTGACAGGTTGATACATGGGAAATTAGCTCTATATTTTGGGCTGAATTCTTGGTTGATGTAAATGAGTCCCAGGAGAGCTCAGCTGATTTATACCAGCTGAACACTCACCTGTTCAAGGGATGCCAACAGGGAGCATGAGGAACAGATCAGCTCAAGTAAGTAGCATCCATCTACACATCCTGAGGGCTTCTAAGCCCTTACAGGGATGTGTTCATGCTGGAATTTGTCAGGAGCAGACAGTTGGCAACATGGGATTGATCAGGAGCAAAAGCCCCACAAAACACTGTCAAATTCCTGAAGCAAGAATATGGGGAAAATAGAAATATACTTAAATTGTGGGTTACTATAACAGATAGTTACAGCATTTCCAGAGAGAAATTGAATTAGCATTGATGATGCAATGTAATAGGGAGAGAGAAAATTGTAGTCTATGTCATGATCACTTGTTTTCTGTTTTATTGCAACTCATGCTTCAGTCATGCTCGTGTCTGTGCAGAACCATTTCCTTTGGATTGCAAATGGTGACCTATTTCTATGTATCTTGGGCTGAATTGCAATGTTAAGTCACAGTTCCTTTTCCTGTTAGTGACTGTGCTGAATTATTTTCTTCTGTTTTTCCTTGTGGTGTACTTTTTAGGTTTGGGCTGTGCAGCAACCAAATTGACTTAGTTGATTCTGAGCATCTTGCATATGTAGAAGATATGTCCTAGCCACAATCCATTACAGTTCTTGGCAGATGGAGAATGTCTGTGGAACCAGTTTGGTAATTTGTTGAGCTCTGGCTTTGGCCATGCCTGTTCCTCCCTAGCAATCTGCCAGGGTGAAGATTCACATATATAACCTCAAAGGTAGTCTGCAGTGTGGTTTGCTTCTGATTCAGTGACTGTACTCAAGAATGAGGTGAATTTGCTCCATGAAGGGCTCAGTGATGTATAATAAATCTGCAGAGAACAGATATCTGTAGTTGACTGCCAGAATTTATAGATAGTTTGCGGTGTCTGTCAGTTAAAGCAAAAATAAGATCTTTAATGTAATGATAAAAGCTTGGGGACATGGCAGCAACTCAGCTAAGCAAAAATAAAAAAATATATTAAGTTAAAATAAATGTATAATTATCTGTGTTTGTTGTAGAAGTGCATTGAAAGTTCTGAACAGCAGGGAAGGGAAGCAACCTTGGTCCACCCCGCAGCCCCGCCATGCTGCCACTGCTCACCCTGCTCTGAGCAGTGCAAGCCTCCTCTCCACACCAGCTGGAAACTGTGCCTTTATATCACAGAAGAACACCACATTTGAAATGTTTTATACTTGCAAATAGTTTCCTGACAGAGTTGAGGGGAGTTGTGTGACTGCATCTTCCAAGCTGATTTTATTTGGAGGAACCTTGTCAGGAGCTATTTGGAGCTGTAGCTCTTCCTGCTGTTTGATGCTTGAGCATCCATTTAAAATGAAAACACAGGGTTTGATTCATACCTTCTCACACCAGTGTCATGCTGCTGCAAGATTACTTAAACAGTGTTATGGTACTGCTGTCTTACGTAACCACATAATGAATCATGCCCTTTCGTATTTTAGGATGTCTTTTATTTTATAATATTTTTCTTTCTATGAGTGAGTGCGTCTTTCAGATGACCACCATATATGCTACACTTGAGTTTTTCAGGTTTCATTTTCTTCAACAAAGCAGTGAAAAATATTTTAAGGATCTGTTTGTCAGACATGTAGTCCTAGAGCTATTTCTTTCTCATTAAAGTGACTGTGATGTGACGGAGGAGGCTCACAGTGATACAAAGCAGCAGCTGAGTGAAGTTCACTAAAGGGAAGGCATGTATGTAGGTGAAGAGAATTAGGTGTGCTGCTTGAATTCTATGTAGGCTGAAACATAACCCAAAATACAGCAAATTTTAAAAAACAGGCTGAGAACATCTAGCTATGTATTTGCCATGAACCATCATGTTTTTAAAATTATTGAATGACTATCAGTGAAATGCATGTTTCTCCTATAGAACATTTCAGCCCATGTAATTGTGCGCTTGTCTAGCCTGGATACTTTGTCAGAAACAGTAAAATTAAATATGTGCTGGTCATTGCACCTTTCAGGCCGGTCTCAGGAGCCATGCAACTCAGCTTGTAAAGAGTTTGTTTTCCAGCTTGTCTTGTTCTGGGTTCTTGTGATTTGCCAAAGAATTTGATTCCATAGTGTCATATGTGGGTAAGCTTACAGCTTCTCCCAGGTTGGATAGAGCCCTTGCCTAAGAGGAGTCCTTTGCCCTTACCATAGGTGTCCCTCCTGGAGCCTCATTTATTGGAAAATCAGGGCATTCAACCTTTTGTAGGATGGGTATTAGGAAGTACGTTACACAGGAGGAGTGTTTATGCTTGTTTTGTTAGCTATTCTAGGATGTCAAATATTTATGAGTTAATACAACCACTGTACATGGCTTAATTTTGCCATTTCTTGGATCATGCACTCGGTACAGAGTTAGAATAGATTTAAGGAGCACTTAGACATAATACCCTGTGCAGAATTTTATATATCATTTACCCTAAGAGAGCATTCTGCTAATGTTGTCCTCTGTATGTAAAATTGTCATAAGTAAGTTTGGTACCTGCACAGAAAGTGAATATTATATGAAGCATGCATGTTGATTATAGCCAAGAGAAGTGAAATGTGATTAAATTCTCAGAGTGATTCAAATATTTATTTTGGTGAGTTGGAGAGAAGTGAAGTTTGTGCATATTTTGATACTGAGCAGTGCAATGGAGACCTACTGTAGCTAATGGGAATGGCTGGGGCATTTATAA